GGAAAGAGACGCACATATTCACACATCACACATGTCACTTAAAGGAAACTGTTTGGGACCAGACGCTTTTTTAGTTTTCTGTTCCCACTAGTGATTGATGCTTCCTTGTTAGTCACTGCTTCCTCTATGCGTCCACTTTCCTCTGAGGGACGTGAATTCCATCAGGGCTGTATTAGAGCTTGTATTAAGTCACAATCTCCCTTTTAGAGCTGGTATTAAGTCACAATCTCAGATTTCTGCCAGGTTTTCAAGAAGTAATCTGTAGCTCACTAGCTGTCCTGTAATGGCATCCCAACCAAGTTACCATCATCCCAATGGTCCTTCTCAGTGATGTACAGGTTCTTTCTTGAATATCTTTGCATCTTTCCCTCACGGTAGCTTGAAAGCAGGAACAAGGAGAAAAGCTGCTATTCACTGTGTAGCTGTTACCTCCTGAAATATTGCAAAATATCCATTTAAAAATATTCTCCAAACTTGCAGTATTAACCATAATTAATAAATAGTCCTATGTACTAAAGGCTTAAAGCAGCCTACTTACCCCAAAATGTTCAGGTTGATGGTCTCGGTAAGACGATTTAGTTGCCATCTGATGTCCAGGTCTGCAGGTATGTTCATTGATACATTCTAGGCCAATCATTCTTGAACGGTGGTCTTCAGAGCTAATTTGGCTCCTGAAGTGAAACATGCTTCAGATTTAAATCTGTTGTTAGTATCAGTGAAGGTTTTGGGTACCTACAGTCCAATTCAAGAATCTTCTAGGGTTTGAAAGGCTTTTTTGTCTTGTTCTGGCCATGAGAAATTCAAGGGTCTCTGTACTTTCTTGCCTCCTGAGTTGGATGATTTTTGGCATAAATTTCACCACTGAGAAATACTCAGACAACACCAAAAATGGAGAGTGAGCACAAATGCAGAGAGGAACAGAACCAGACTGCAAAGTTCAGGGATTCATAATGTTTAAGGTCGAAAGGGACGGGTTGGGTTGATCTTCTGGATCAACCTCCTGTATGTATCAAAGGCACTTTAATGTCATTATTATGTCTAGATTGTGCCCTGTAAGTTGTGTTTGAATAAAACACAAACACCTGTGTCACTAGGGCATACCTTGCAGAGAGGTGGATAGTGATGATCTGAGGACTTCAGAGAACACTACTTTCCTTGGTAGCACGGTTCCAATAGTTGATCACCCTCATTAATAAAAATGTATGCTTTTATTTCTCATTTGAATCAGTCTGACTTCTCCAGCTTCCAGCCATCACTTCCTGGAATTTCTTTTTCCACTAAAGTGTCTTTTGCTACTGGGTATTTTTTTCTTAGGAAGGTCTGTATCCACTGTGATCTAGTAGTCACTATACAGTTATTGATCTGAAAAGCTACAAAGATCACACGCTGTCTTTCTGTCAAGCACTTTCTCTAGCTCTAGAACAATTTTTCCACATCTTTTCTGTGTTCTCACCAATTTTTGGACATTCTCCTTAAGATATGGACAACAGAACTGTATTCAGTGTTGGTCATGCTAATGCTGTACATAAAAGATAATTTCCTTTCTATTTCCTGACTCCTTGCTACTCTTCTGTTTATACATCCAGAGACTAAATTGCCCTCTTCCCCATGGTTTTGCAGTGGGAGCTCATGTTGGATTCATTTTTTGCTATGACCCCTGAACCTTTTCAAATTCAGTGCTTTACAGGACACATTCCCCCATTTTGTAGGTATGGTCTGCATTTCTTGTCCCTGTGTTTATGATTTTGCACTTGGTCATATTAAAACACATTTTATTTGAATGGGTGCAAATTATCAAGTGATCCAGACCTCTCTATACAGCTGCCTTGGCCACAACATTATGTACCACTCCACC